CTCTCAGAGATACATCATGTCATCATATCCCAATTGATGCTCATGGTGTTGATCACTGGTTTGTCTTGTTCAGACTTGATTAGACTTGATTATTTACAGACCGCAGCCATATAGCTGTAATATTGTTGAGTGCAGCGCTAAGCAACAAACAAACAAACAAAGGTATACTGACTGCAGGACCTATGAACAGGTAGAGGCTTAGTTCTTTATGTTTTCATTTGTAGCAGTGATAATGAACGTCCATGTGAAATGCAGAATATAAGAAAATAGTTTACAAATTTAAAACATGCAAGTAACATGTTTGTCTGTCTGCCACAGAAAATTCCATGGTAATGCCCACTGAAGTGCACATGAGAAATCGTTCTGCTATCAAGGGCAATGGAAGCACCAATAAAATATGTGCAACAAAAGTTAAAAGTTTATGCTTCTAGAAATTTCTTTTTTTTCTTTTTCTTTTCAAACCGAAGTAAAACCCAACGGAAATAATGATTAAAAATCAAGATTCATGAAATTATATTTTCAGTATCCTTTTGTGTCAATAAGGTTTTGCAAACACTTGATCAGTTCACTGTAAAACATACACTTTTGACCTGGTATGCTTTAGTTATTAGTAAGTGAAAGTGTAATGAGATCCCAGTATGAGGGTGCAATACAATTTGTTTATATTGCCTCCCTTTTGCCTGTGTATGACCGCTCTGAATTTCTGTGCAGATTCAGCTATTTGAAGCCAACCAGGCAACACTGTGGAATCTGTATATATTAGTGTTGGGAAAAATCTCATAATTGATGATTGGTTCATAACAACCGATCAATCATCAAAAATAATTGGTTAGTGTCTTTTATGAAATTGGTTAATGCACAAAAACATAAGGAAAAAAACATGTAGTTCTTTGGGGGTTTTTGGGGGGCAAAATTTCACATCTTTAAAGGATGACTAGTATGTTAGGAACATAAATTTCTTGGAGTCTTTAAGATAAATATACTCCCCATCAAAAGTTTAGACTCACCTAAAGCACTCACTAAATGTTATGCATATATATATATATATGGTTACATCGAAGATGACTTTCTCTACTAACTTGGGGAACCAACTGCAAACCTTATGCAGATGAACTGCACGAGGATCATGCATCAAATTGCTGAAAAGCATGTGCAAATATCGTGTATGTTAACAGGTGCGTTTTAGTGTAAAGCTTTGTTAAGAATTCTCCAATTTTCACTGAGTTTCATCATTTATGGAACTCATGACAATAACTTTTTCAGCGTTACGAATTTGTTTTACAATACATCAGTTTATGTGTAAACAGTACCTTTAAACAGTATGGAATATTTTGCAAAATTTAGTTCAGAACAGTTGACTGAAGTAAGTGGCTACATTTACACTAGTGAGTGTAAACTTTTGATGGGTAGTATATGCATCAAATACGCGGGTTTTCTGCGTCAGGGCAAACACTGAATGTATTGCAACACAAGAGTGGTAAATCTGTGAATCGTATTATGAGCCTCATATCGCGATACAAAATTGCATTGCAGTATCAGTACACCACTATTTACAGTGGAAGCTGTCAAAACCGGCAGCTGTCCAATCCGGCAAGTTGTCAACATCGGTATAAAATCTCAGTCCCGTGCATGGCTAGTACATTTATCATTATTTAAAAGCTCTGCAACCCGGCAGCTGTCATTTCCGGATCTTGGCATGAAATGAGCAGGCCGAATATGTGTTTACAGTAATAACCGCTGTCTAATCCGGCACGTGGCAATGAGTCAGTAATCCTATGTTGAAACTACATGGTTGCCGACAAAGATAATTTAATCTTAGTTCAGTATGGGTGTACTTGTACATGTAATTAGTGAGCTGAGAGAGAAATTGAGAGAACCACCTTATACAACAATGTATATGAGAGTGATAAAACTGGTTTAGTTCTAGTTGTAGGTAACCGTGTCAGCTGTACAATCCGGCACGCTGTCGTAACCGGATTATTTTTTCAGTCCCGACGTGTGCCGGTTTTGGCAGTTTCCGCTGTAGTAAGACTATCCTTGAGCTAATGAGTATATACTTACCTGAGTAACATGTATCCGAAAAATGTCATCGCTTTTGTATGGAAAAGAGAAAGTGGACTGGATGATGAAACGCAGACCTAAACCCTTGTTGGTTTTGGGTTTTTTATTTTGTCATCCCCTTTGATGTTTCTTTGGGAATTTCCATATGCACATCAACCCGTGAAGATCCGGGTTATTATTGGTCTTCAGCAACCCATGCTTGTCGTAAGAGGCGAATAACGGGATCGGGTGGTCAGGCTCTCTCACTTGGTAAGACGTATAATCACATCCCAATTGCGTAGATTGATGTTCATGCTGTTGATCACTGGATTCTGGTCCAGACTCGATTATTTACAGACCACTGCCATATAGCTGGAATATTGCATAGTGCGGCGTTAAACAACCAACCAACCATATGCACAGCAAGCATCCAAGGAAGTAATGTTGATGTTTTATATTTTTCATGATTGAAATATCTTAGAGTATAGACAATTTTGGACTCTTTATGCTACTTCCAAATGTATGCTACTTCCAAAAGTTTTGTTAATTGAAAATTACAGTTACCAGTTTACTTAATTAGAAGGTATTGAAATAATGAAAAGATGAAATCATATGGTGCAGTGTTATTCATGTTCATGCCATTTAGGTGTGAAGTCCATTTCTGGTGTCCCCTGCCGTGATGTTGCTGGAATATTGCTAAAAGCGGCGTAAAACCAAACTCAGTCATGCCATTTAGATTCTGGGTAAGGGTTAGTCTAAAGCAAACCATGCTTGTCACAAGAGATCATTTATTGGGTAGCATGGTCACTTTTGGTGCCTTGGTTGATGCATGTACATGTGTAATTGGGATTGAGTTGCATGCATATCAGTGCCCATAAGTCACTGGATTGTCTAGTCTGGACTTTGTTTTTTATAGACTCTTGTTTTATATCTTGAATATTGCTCAATGTAGCAATGAAACAACAACCAACAACAGGGATTTACAGGACGCGAATTCCTGCGTCCTATAAAAATTGACAATGGACAACAAAATTTATTAGCGCGTCCACAGGGACTCAGAAAAAGTCCATATACCTTTTGTGAAAATTCCAATCAAGTGACAATAAGTTATCACTGAGTTTGCTACTAGCTGGGTTATGGTATTATTTGCAATTTAATTACTGTAACAATGTGATGATCATGATACACAATACAATAACTGTATTAATAATAATATTAAGTGTCTGGGACTCCCATTTTGTTGTCCAGGACCCCTGAAAATTAAGAGTATGAGTCCCAGGGACCCTCAAATACAGGACTCAAGGTAAATCCCTGCAACAATGAATGTTTATTTGTGTATATCTGGCTTAAATATACAAAATATTCTTTTGTGTCTTAAAAGGTTGTTCCTTAATTGGATGTTCTGTGTTTTAGACTGCTTTATGAGACAAATATGGCCGACGGTAGCAGAGTGATGACAGATGAAGGAGAGAAGGATGCTGATGAAACAGTGGAGGCACTGGAGAACACAATCCTCGGCTTGTGTTCAGACGTAGAGCCGAGAGCTCACACGGCTGAGGCATCGGGGTTGTTAGAACCTCCAAAGACTTGGCAGTTAGCCAGGAAAGGAGTCTGTTGAACAACTTGAGTCCCATCAAGAGAGCCGAGCAGGAGGTGGCAGTTGTGACCCCCTTGACCCACAGCTGGATGGGCACAGCTCAGAGCACGCCCATTACTGATACAGCTCACTGTCCAGTATACAACAGCAGCAGGAGGGGCTTGTTGTATCCCTCGGGACCCGACCTCCAGATGCGAGTCGAGGATGGTGACAGCTTCACCTCGTATGAGAACATCTATGACGATGGGAAAACATATGAAGACCTTTTGTTAGAGGTGTCCCAGATTTGTGGGCGGTCAGTGGCTAAAGAAAGCAATGACACTGGGAGAAATATCAGTCGCATTAATGTAGGAGAGATTGTGTCAGCTTCCTAAGAAACAGCAGCAGTTATCGCACCGGGATTGTCTTCTGTTGCTGATATAGGTGATGAAAAGTACTTTGCCCAGACTTTGACATCTTCAGCCTTGTCGGGACGCTTCACGGGTGTTCGTAAGAGTAGGCACGTGTTTGATGAAAGCACTGTGGAGATTGATCCTGAACCAAGTGCTGACATTTTGGGACTGGATAAGTTCATCTGCAGTGATCTTGATGAGGACGATAATGATGATTCTGATGATGAGGACAATGCTACAGTCATAGCTAGATATACTGTTTTAGATACGCGTGGCGCTTCCATGGATAATTCTGTAGTTAATACAGACCCAGTCAGTCAAGGTTTACTCCAAATTAACAATAATAATGAGTGCTTAAAAGAAACAGTATGTAGATCTGCATTGAGTAAGGTTGGCAGTTCATTGTCACACTCCAGAAGTAGTCTTGATAGCAAGGAATCTGGAGAGCTAAGTGATACACTTCTTGAAAGTGATGATGATGGGTTACCAGAGGCCACACCTGTGAAGACAGTACCTTTCAATATGAGAAAACGGAAACGGAGACTGCTTACAACTGATAGTGACAGAGAGGAGGGAGAGTTGACCTCAACAGCCACTGATGCATCAGCTAGTGAAGTGGAAGAGTGGGGGGTTGAAGCAGAAGAGGAACTTGGTGCAACTCTTGTCCGGACAACAATTGCACAAGAGATTTTGACCGATGACATTTCATTGACCACCAAGTCTGAGCCTTGTGAAGTTGTTGGTGAAGCTGCAGTACATCCGTGTGAAGAGGATGGAGAAGTTGTTGCTCCTTCAGAGGTATCTAAAGGATCAAAAGGGCACTTGAAGCAACAAAGAAAGTATCTGCAAAGGTACTTGAAGAGGTCACAATAAGGGTGATTGAAGCAACAACAGAGGTACCTGAAGTAGAGGCATCTACAGTTGTACCTCGAGTAACTGAAGCATCGACAGTTGTAGCTCGAGTAACTGAAGCAACGACAGAGGTGCCTGAAGCATCTACAGTTGTACCTCGAGTAACTGAAGCATCGACAGTTGTAGCTCGAGTAACTGAAGCATCGACAGAGGTGCCTGAAGCATCTACAGTTGTACCTCGAGTAACTGAAGCATCGACAGAGGTGCCTGAAGCATCTACAGTTGTACCTCGAGTAAACTGAAGCATCGACAGAGGTGCCTGAAGCATCAGCAAAATTTCCTGAACCATCAGGAAAGGTGTCTGAAGCATTAAGAAAGGAACCTGAAGCATCTATTGATGTACTTCAAACTTTCACTGAGCAACCTGAAGTGAAGGATGAAGCTGAACATGGTGCAAAACCTAAATCCAAAGGTCAAACTGTGCTCCCTTCCCAACACATTCTGTGTGATGAGAATGTATTGTCCTTAACAGAAGGCGATGATGATCTGAGCAGTCAGAGGAATATACAATCACTGATGTCCGGTAAATGTCTTCATGGGAAACAGGGAAAGTCTTCTGCTTTTGAATCGTTAGAAGAGTCCATGATTTCTGAGATGTGTGAGAAATTGATGGAGGAAAAAGATTTGGCCGATTATGGGAGTTTTATTGTCATCGATAGCCCAGAAAAGAATGTTGATGAAAGTTTTGTTGTTGTTAGTGAAAATGCTGTATCTACTTCAAGTGATATCGTTGATAAAGATGTCAAGAAAGACACAGTGATTGTAAAGACAAAAGACTGTTGTAGCCATGTGTCAGTAGCAGAAGGAACAACTAAAATAAGCAACACCAACATTGTCAAGGCCATGCCCAAAGACAGTCCAGTTTCAGCTGTGAAACAAGGAATCCTTTACAGCCCAATAACTGCACCCGAAACCAAAAAGACTTGTATTAAATCAGCGGCAAGGATTTCCCCGACAGAACAAAATATCCTTGAATATGAAACTGGGTTAATGAAAAGTGTGCGGCTTAAGTGGGGACAGTCGGGGCATTCATAGACCTGACGAGAATCTTACCTACAGCTCCTGGCTACGGAGGACACAAACCAATAGAAAAGTGGAGCCAACTTTCATCTTGGAGGGTAACAGCAGAGAGCCTCCCCTGTTCAGAAGGATGTCTGTTCCAAATTCAGAACTTTCAGAGAACTCGTCAAGACCTGATTCTCCAGAACGAAAGAAACCACGAATAGGTGGCACTCCAGGTAAGGCTGAATGGCGATGGCACAAAGAGCATAAAATCTGTGCTACAGAAGCAGCTGATGGAAATACAAACGGAGGAGAAGAGGCTGTCAGATGTGATGACCATGCAACAAGAAGCATATCTGCATAATCTGAGGTTGAAGCATGGCAAGATGTTCCAAGCACTCCGTACTCAGCAGAACCTGGAGAGACGGCAGCACTTGGCTATCTGGAACGGCTACGTCAGCCAGGCTCTGTTGGAGTACCAACTGATGCAGCTGAAGCAGGAGCACATGTTGCAGGTGAGACAGCTGGAGACAGTCAACCGCATGGAGATGCAGAGGGACATTAATGTCATCAACCATAACAGGCAGGCTCAGGCAAAACGTTTTCAGTCTTTGAAACTCCCGGCATGGCAGTCGATAAAGAACTTTGAGGAAAACACTGCTAGTGGTGCACAGATGGATGAGGCTCACACCACTGTGAATCTGTGTAAGGGTTCATTTCGGCCCGGTGGTGGTGAGAGGAATACGGTGAAGGTGTGTCTGCCTGTGGATGTTGCAGCGTTCATGATCAGGGAGGATGAAGTCTATGACACAAACTATGAACATTCGTAATTTCTGTTGTGAGAAATTTGTGGTAAGAGAGACAAATATGGGTGTCATGGTGTCACTGTGAAGTGACTGGGTGTCATTCTGCCACTGTGAGGTGATATGGTTGACTGGGTGTCATTGTGCCACCCGGAGCTGACACGGTTGACTGGGTGTCATGGTGCCACTATGTGGTGACATGGTTGACTGGGTGTCATTGTGCCATTATTTGGTGACACGGTTGACTGGGTGTCATGATGCCACTGTAAGGTGACATGGTTGACTGGGTGTCACGGTGCCACTTGACTGACACATGTGTCACACACCACTATGAGGTGTTGACTGGGTGTGATGGCACCACTATGAGGTGACATGGTTGACTGGGTGTCACGGCACCACTATGAGGTGACATGGTTGGCTGGGTGTTATGGCACCACTATGAGGTGACATGGTTGACTGGGTGTCACAGTGCCACTATGAGATAACATGGTTGATTGGGTGGCACCACGATGAGGTGACATGGTTGGCTGGGTGTTATGGCACCACTATGAGGTGACATGGTTGGCGGGGTGTCACGGCACCACTGTGAGATGACATGGTTGACTGTCATGGTTTAAGGGTTGAATGGGTGGCATAGTACCAGTATTTATGGCGAAATATATAAATAGATGTGATTCAGGTAATATGGACCCAAAGGATATGGGCTGGTAGGTTATGTTTTTATGCATATTTGCTGTTTTGTTTGTATTGACATTTAACATATCAGCCTTATTTAAATGTGGTATTAGTTGCAACCATTTGTTGATAAAAGAAGCTGAAGCACAATGCATCTTTCCCAAGAGTTAAATAAGTGTATCCCGGTCACTGTTGCTGCCAGTGATAAATGGATTTGGCCAACAAGAGAAACAATGGGACAGCCAGCTTACCTGAAAGACATGATTATATATTTCTATTTATGTTTCTCTCTAGCACCTTAAAGAAGCATGCTTTAATGGTTTGAAATGGTGAGAATGTTATGTCACCATTTACTATGAAACAGCAATCTGTTACCTGAAAGCATAATAATTCTATATTTTATTTATCTATCTTTGTCAACTTAAAGAAGCATTCTTTGAAGTTTTGAAATGGTGAGAAATGGTTCACTATTTACCATGATACAGGAATCTGAAGGCTGATGTTTATTTTATTTGGAATTGTGATCTGTGTAGTTATTTTGATAGAAGATGCAGAGTACTTACAGTTGTACAAATAGATCATGTAAATTATCACAATATCATTTAACATTTTCTGAATTCTAATCAACTTTGGCAAAATTAATATGAAGATACTAAAATTCAATAGTTATGTACATATGGTTGCTCTTTGAAACATTATGCAAATAATCATGTTATACAGTTTCCCAATTGCGTAGAATGATGCTCACGATGTCGATCATTGGATTGTCTAGTCCAAATTCAATTATTTACAGACCGCTAGATATAGCTGGAAAATTGCTAAGGGCAGCATTAAACAACAAATAAACCAGGCTCTAATTTTATAGTCTAAAGTATTTACTGAAATGTAAAGTACACTACTCCATCTCCTCTCCATACATGACTGCCTGCGAGGACCCTTACAATGAATTAATTTTGTACTCAGAGTACACAAAAGCAAACCTATCAGCACAGTGGTAGAGGATAGAATTTGAAACTGGTTAAATTTGGGTAAAATATAAGGGAAAGGTTTGGGTGTTGGTGGGGGAATTTTATATTTATTTATTTATTTTATTATTAGTAAAATAATGCTTTTGACATAATAAATAATCATAAACTTTATTTATCAGTTTAATGTAATGTTATTAACACTCTGTCCATCAGTTTGTTTACTTGTCTAGCTGGTTTTATGTTTTGGGGTCTATTTTAGATGGGAGCAGAGTTGCCTCCCTTAGATTACCAGAATCATGTGAGTTTACATGCCAGATTTTTTAATTCATTTTCTTGGTTTGCCAGTGCACCATGCCCATCCTAACTATCCACCCACTTCACGCAGACATGCAGAAATATGAATGAAGTTTTGTTCAAAGTGGTCATTAAACTATACTCACCTTTTTTGAGAGATGAACCATTTATGTTTCCTCCTCATTTTCATCAATGTTTTATGCCAGGTATGGAATGGTTCACCATGTTTGGTGTTGTATCAAGTCACTGATGGAGATGCCAGGATCTATTTGAGGGAATACTGCCTACCTCTGATCAGTGATGATATTCTCATATGTAAGTCTCATATATTGATATGTTGACCTGTAAATTCAGAAACATATGTAATAAAAAGAAATAGTTTATATTATATTCACCCCTTTGTTTGGTTTCCTTGTTCCTTATAAATGACTTCACTTTTGTGAGGGAGTATGGTTTTACACCACTTTTAGCTTGGGGTAGCCTAGTCGTTAAAAGGGTTCGCTCTTCACCCTAAAGACAATTCCCCACATGGGTACAATATGTAAAGCCCATTTCTCACTCACTCACTCCAATGCATGAAGGTCAAGGTCGTTTGCTGATGCTTTTGTTTTTGGTCGTTTACACGGTTTCAGTCGCAGATAGTTACTGACCTACTTTTGTTTGTATATTTCTGAAAGTGAACAATTGTTGATCTTCCGAAAATGTCTCTATGAAGTTCAAGGCCAGCAAGTAATGTGTTGTGGCTGGGAGCACATGGCATTAAGGGCTGCTTCTTCGAATCCCCAGTGGTTTCAGGGGATGTTGCGGTGGGGCGTAGCCTTGGTTTCTATTAAATACTTCGTTGGCTCGTGCCGAAGACCCGGGTTCAAAGAATCCCAACTACATGGGCACAATGTGTGAAGCCCATTTTGGTGTCCCCGCACCTGTGATGTTGCTTTGGAATATTGCTAAAAGCAAACAATATTTTCAGTCAGTCAGTTCAGTGTGGTTTCTATTTTTGATATACTTAAAGTCTACTTGCAAACACAGTTTATGGGACTTAGCCGTTTAGATGGAATAATTCTGATTGAAGTGTAAAACAATAAACCATAAAATGAAACTGTTAGCTGCATTAAGGGATTTCTTCAATCTTGATTGCACTGCGCCAATCCCTGTACCCAAAGGATGGGTGCAGCCAAGCTATCCAAACACGCCTGTCAACATCTCGGCCAGCGTTATAGTTTGATTGCCAAGTGTTGAGATATTCAGGTGGTTTCGTATCTAAAAGCTCACCAGTACATCATGCATATGGCGTGAAGTGACTAAAACGGGGATCAGGTGGTCAGACAGTGACTTCTGCTGTTTGTGTGTAATAGTATCGTCCATGTGGGACTTGATGTACATGTTGTCGCCATATGCTTGGAATATTGTAGACCGCCTCCCTGGTGAAGTGGATTGAGCGTGTACCTGGTCTGGGGATGGTCAGTGGTTCGATCCCGGTCGCGTTGTACCAAAAGACGCTAAACGATGGTACTTGTTCTTTCCCTGCCTGACACTCGGCGTAAGGGAGTGGGTTTACTTTGTCTGAGATGGGTATCTATGGTAAACTGCAGCATGGTATCTCAGTGAGCTAGCACTATAAAACCGGCATTAGTCTGAACTAGAAAAAGCAGAAGCCCACGCGCGCGCACACGTGCATGCATGTTGGTACATAGTGCAATAATTCAGAACGCGGCGTTAAACCCAAATCTCACCCTGAACATTGTAGACTGAGGTACCGGTGAAGGTCTGGATTAGAATGAACCTTCAGTAACCCATGCTTGTCGTAAGAGGCGACTAACCGGGATCGGGTGGTCAGGCTCGCTGACTTGGTTGACACGTCATCGGTTCCCAATTGAGCAGATCGATGCTCATGCTGTTGATCACTGGATTGTCTGGTCCAGACTCGATTATTTACAGACCGCCGCCATATAGCTGGAATATTGCTGAGTGCGGCGTAAAACTATACTCACTCGCTGTAGATTAAGGTACCACATTTGTCAATTAGGCCTGCCAGAGACCTATCGTCCTGGGTTCGAATCCCGGATTCGCCTTGATGTTTCAAGGTTCGTCAGCACCATACAGCAATCAATATCGAAGACCTGCACTAATTACTGCGGGTTGTCAGACCACATCACCATGGCGTAACAGAAATACTGCCTTTTAAACTATGGCATACTGTAAGGGTCATATGTTAGCATATTTAGGTGGTTTCCAAAGGTCGAGATGGCGAGAATGTACCTTTCAGTATTCCATAACCCAATATACCCAGTAAGCTCTTTCGGGGCGGTGGGGTAACCTAGTGGTCAAAGCGTTGGCTCGTCACGCAGAAGACCCGGGTTCGATTCCCCACATGGGCACAATGTGTTAAGCCCATTTCTGGTGTCCCCCGCCGTGATATTGCTGGAATATTGCTAAAAGCGGCGTAAAACTAAACTCAGTCAGTCAGTCAGTAAGCTCTTTCACGTGAGTGTCAAATATCAAAAATAATACGGATGGAATTTCTTGAGGGCGATGTGATGGCCTAGTAGTTAAAGCACTCCCTCGTCACGGCACGATTCCGGGCTCTATTCCTCAAATCGGTAGAAAACGTGGACAGAAAAAAAACATTTCTGGTGCCCACTTCGTTATTTTACAGGAATATAGCTGAGGTAAGTGAGTGAGTTTAGTCTTTTGGCGCTTTCAGCAATATTCCAGCAATATCACGGCGGGGGACACCAGAAATGGGTTTCACACATTGTACCCATGTGGGGAATCGAACCCGTCTTCGGCGAGACGAGCGAACACTTTCATCACAAGGCTACCCCACCGCCATCAAAACCTCGCTCACAGCAGTATTTGCCTCGGGTAAAAACTGCACTCAAAGGTCAAACTATTCGGCCAAGAAGAGAACGAAAACGTTTGTTCTATTACTTTTTACGTTTTTTTGTTTGTTTTGTTTTTATTGGGTTTATTTTATGTACGTGCATATTCGACTGTTCTTTGCCATTTCCTTTCACCGGTGATATTTAGCTACAGTAGCAGCTGGCAAACTGGTATAACCTGCATTACATTATGTCGTTGTACATACCGTGTTTATTTATCTAACCGCCCCCTCCCACGAACACCCGCTGTCTAGTCAAGGCAACCCGTCTGTGTGGTAAAAAACGGGGATGCTTTTTTTATGGCAGAAAAATATCATGAGAAATATGCTTTAATTCAATCAGTCTGTCGATAATTCTTGCGTCTGACATTTTGAAACTCTTTCCCCCCGATCGTGAATTCCCAAACTGCATGCGTGTGGGGGCATAGCTTGCATCGCTTTAAAATGTCATCTCCCTCGACGGACAACGCTGCGCGCACGTAGGGGAACGATGCACCCCCAAGGAGACACCCCCTTCAACAGACGCTGATGTCGGATACATTGAGATCGTGTATCCACCGACTTCCGCAATGGATGTAATCCCTGGCGAGAACATGAAAATAATCAGTCTCTTCCGTGCGGTAGGCGTTTGTGAGCGCCGTCAACATCATTGTTATGACTTCATCCGCGCATTCTTTAAGGACGGGTGCACCTGTCTTAATTTTAGGTGTACATTTTGTTAACTTTCTTTTTTTCTAGAGGCAGATTTATCATATCTCTATATTAGTCTCATAGACACCCTGTTTTAATTCCGTGATAGAATTGAACTCTAGAGGCGGAATTCATAAAGAAAACAGAAAAAGTCTGAAGAACATCTTTGTACCCTTTATGACTTAGTTTTATGTTTTGCGGTTTTACTGAAGTCACATTCATAACACGTCAAAGGTTACATTTTCCCAATTTCTGTACCATGAAGATCCGGGTTAGAATTGGTCTTTAGTAACCCATGCCTGTCGTAAGAGGCGACTAACAGGAACGGGTGGGCAGGCACGCTGACTTGGTTGACACAGACCACCGCCATATAACTGGAATATTATTGAGTGCGGCGTTTGACAAAGTGTTTGACGTGAGTTGGTACCCCGGATCCGTCTCACGAAGATCAGGTAGGGAGGGGCGGTGGCACGTCATTTTACCCAGTTGAAAAGATATGAATTAGGGTCTTTAGTGTGTCATTTAAAGCATATATTATATATACTGAGTCAAAAAAGAAACTTCACATTCTTTCTTCAGGGCACTATAAAAGAACAAGAGATGGTAAGATGGTTAAATTGTTATTATTTCATTGTTGAGATCTGTGTGATGTACTCGATACACTGACAGTGCCATAATCAGTTCCATTAGGGTACACCGCCGTTCCAAAACATGGGTATACAGAATGTCAAGTCACAAGAATAAAAATGCGAAATTTCTCAGTTCAATATCGTGTATGGCCGCCCCGCGCATTCTCCACTGCCAAACACCGTCTCCTCATCGACTGCCTGATGCTTGTGAACACGTGGTTGGGGATTCTTGGCCATTGCTCTTGCAAGTCAGCGCCAAATTCCTGCAAATTCTGAGGTTGGTTCCTAAGACCACGAAGCCTTCTCCCAAGTGCATCCCAAACGTGCTCTATTGGATTAAGGTCAGGGGACCTCGATGGCCAGTCCATGACGTTGATTCCAGCGTTTTGAAGGAAATTTCGTGTCAACATCGCGGTATGCGGCCGAGCATTATCCTGCTGGAACTGTAGACCTGGGCCATGAGCCTCCATGAAAGGAACGAGTTCAGGGGTGAGCACCTGGTCGCGGTAAGCAGCAGCTGTGAGGTTTCCACGGATGACCAGAAGTCGGGAACGGTTGTTCCCACAGAAAGCACCCCACACCATGCAACTTCCGCCCCCGAATCTGTCGACTTCCTGTACACAACATTGGGCATACCGTTCACGACGTCGTCTCCAGACTCTATGCCTGCCGTCCGCGAATCTGAGGGTAAACCTGGATTCATCGCTAAAGACGACTCGATTCCAGTCTCTCTGGGTCCATCGGAGGTGACGTTGGGCCCACAGCAGACGTTGACGTTGATGAAACGGCGTCAATATTGGCCCACGATATGGACGTCGTGAATGGAGATTGGCAGCCCGCAACCGATTTCGAATGGTCTGTGAGGACAGTGGACCTCTAAACATCTCAGCCCTGGTTCGTGTAGCCGGCAGAAATCTGTCACGTAGGTGACGTAAGACGATTTGGCGGTCTTTTGCTCGGGACGTCACACGTCGACGACCCGACCTTGGGCGATCAGTGGTGCCAGTTTGTTGTAGACCACCTCGCAAGTCATACACAGTACGACGGCTGCATCCCATTGCTCTTGCGACGTCAATAACTGATCTTCCCGCTTGCAACATGCCAACGGCAAGTTCACGTTGCACATTTGACAATCGTGGCATTTCAAGTACCGTTAGAACTGTGGTTTAAAAGTGTATTTTAAATTCTTGAGGC